GTAAAACTTCCCCTACGTCTGATTTGCCTTTTTGATTTTATTTGCATAAAATAATATTTTGATTGTTCTGGTAATATGACTTTCTACATTTGACCACAATTTCATTACAGATTCAGCTTTCGTAAGTAGTTAATCCGTATTTCTTATTCTGTATTATCTTTGTTATTTACGTGCTCAAAATATTGCAATTAATTCTACGTCACAAATTTGCCGCGCCTGATTGGACATTTACAAACTGATCGAACTAATATGACCACTCCTGTAGGCTGATGAAGATGTACGACTACTAGTAGTAGTATAATGGGATGTTACGTGTCAGTTTGGTAGATATATTGTATATTATTATTACTACTTGGAAAACATGAACGATTTTGTTTAAATATTGGACGTACTTATATATATTACGTCTTATGTTGACAAAATATTTACGCAACCACGACAACCATTAGCAGTTTAGTTTTGATCTACCACTGTATAACAGTAACACACTGTACAGTGTGTTAAGTTGTAACATATTTTATCAAGTGCTGATGTTTTGAAACGAATTAAATCATTGATTCTTTAATAATCCAATGAGCACATTAACTTTATAATTGAAATTAATATTTAAACCCTTATTATTTTTAGTTTTAAATAGCTATGTACACATAACTAAAATCAAATTAGTGAGTTTAGCCAAAATTCAGCGTTAACTTGCAATATCTTCAATTCCCTGTTTTGATTTGGCTAAATCCAGAAGTCACATATGAAAGTTATGCTATTGTTAAGTTCTTTGACTAGCCATACTCCCAGTGTTGTTTGGATCATCTTTAGCACGACAATGGCTTTGTTCCATGTGGAATATTCATCGAGAAGTATCGCAAATATAAGAAGATAATTCATTCCAAAGATGCTCAATCAGATTCAGATCCAATGATTATGCTTCCACAAAAAGTAATGATAATATGAATGCAAAAAATTGTTGGTTTATCGTTTTGGAAGAGTCCTTATCCATCAGAGCAAAAATGCATCATTATGTGGTGGACACCATTGGCAACAATGTTCAGGTACCCAAATCCTACCATGACAACACACATCCACACAATTACACCACTTCTAGCAGTTTACATTGGTGGAATAGTACAAGCAAGGTAAAGTGCCTCATGTAGTTTTCTCCATATTTTTACTCTATCATCAGTACAGAAACAGGTTAAATGTCCCTCATCAGACTACTTCACGAAGCTTGTCTTTTCTTTTCTACAACGAAGATAAGCAGTTTTGAACTTTATTTCACATCCACATATTGTTCTGTAAACAAAAAATAATAATGTTGGATATACACGACTGTATAGTTTAAGAGTTATTATGTAGTTTATTTATTGATTTAATGATTATTTAGTTTTCACAACAAGAGTGTTAAAAGTTATTTTAAAAGCGATAATTATGACAAGTTTCGTTAAGAAGCTCTGTACCAGTCGTATGTTGTGTATGCAGTTTAACTGTTGTACTAGGCTTTTGTAATATTGTTGACGTCATCTTACTCGAAGCTTCTAAGTTTTTATCGTTGTGTGTAACACTCTTGTCACTAGAGGGCCAGATATTTCTAAATTTTTCTCTCACGTGTTATAAATACGGGCAGATACAGAAAGTAAGTTAGTGAAAGTTAGACTGCATGATTGGGCGATTTCTGAAGTGAATTTATCACTGATTATATTGTGATAACAGAGAAGATAAGAAATAATTCGCCTTGTCAATTGAGTTCTCAGGTAACCGAACCAGCCTGTGAGGACTTTTGACGAAAAATAGAATTATTTCAAGCTCCAGATTCAACTGTGGTAAACAATAGTGTAACGAATTTTTGTACATATTCGTTTGACTTGTTTTGAATATATATTACTTTAAAACAAGTGGATTGTGTGCTGTCCGTTTATTGTTGAAATTTATCGCCAACAAATCACAGACACCCACTGTAAAGAATCCGGCCCCTATATAAACCTGACAAATATAATTGCTTGTTTGTTAGTTTTCAAATATTCGCGCAATGTTGGTCAATGTCTATGTAAGCTAGCTGTCTCTAATGTTGAACTGATAGGCTATAGGGATGGCAGC